GGTGTCACAGATTGGTCGTGTATAAGAACAACAAAAACAAATTCTAAAATCCCAATCTCTAAATCGTGACGAATTTTAAATATAGTACGAACACTTAAATAATAGAAATTAAACAGTATGAAAAATTATCACATATACAGTGCTACTCCATGCACTCTGATTCCTCTCAAAGACAAAGATTAAATGCGGGGTTAATTTAACTAAAATACCGGCATCGATCTTAGTGAGCAGTCAGTTCAGAGTGGTCAGTTCAAAACGTCTCAAACCAGGGATAATTCATAGAATCCGGAAAGTCCTATGGTTTCTTGTGATCCGTCCTCCTTTCTCAAAAGATCTGGTCTGCTTTTTTCCTCCCTCTGGCAGGCTCAGACGAGTTGCACAGACGAGTTGTTCGAGCATAAAATCAGTGGCAGACTGTTAGCTGTGAGCGGTGAAGACAGATCCTCCTTGACGCGTTTCGTGCTTTCACTTTTTCAAAAGGGGGGAATCATGAACGCTGACAAATGGAGCCCAGCGCTGCCATGGAGTATAACCAGGAAAATAAAATTACGGTAAGTATGATTACATTTTCCGTTATCTTGTAAGCAACTTCAACTACAAAGCCAACTGTCAAAACTTGACCCCGACGTGATTTGAACACGCAACCTTCTGATCTGGAGTCAGACGCGCTACCGTTGCGCCACGAGGTCAGTTATTTATAGTGGTGGCCTTTTTCCTATTTTGGGATCGCTACTATACATGTCCTTGTCACTAATAGGAACAGCTGCTGTGTTGCCTGATTTGTATTCCAAGGATTTCTTAGTCTGCAAATACATTTCAGTATATGTTTACTCAAATGTATCAGATAACTAGGCCTGCAATCTCACGCTGGTTAGCTCAGTTAAAGCATAGTGTTAACAATACCTTCAGTTTCAGACCCTGTAAAGGCCATCAGGGGATAAAAAAAAGTAGCAAGATTGCAATTTTGCTTCCCCGGAATTATATAAACTCAATAAAAATCAGAAGGTCAGTGACACATTATGGAAGACAACATTAGCAGTTAAATGACAAAAAAGCCTCCATTCATGCTAATTACTAGGAGGAGGAGAAGGTTGCTCTTTGTCAGAATGCAATAGCCTGCCAACAGCATGGATGGGGGAATCCAGAGCTTTTTCTCATTCAGCCCTCGGAGCTTAATGAGGAAAGACTTTAAGTGTGTGGCAGCATTACACAATGCCAAGTGGCAGCTGATAAATAATACTAAATCTTGGGATGTGTAAGAAAGGCCTGTAGGGGACATTTGTTTTCCGGGGGCTGACCTCTCAAAACGGGCACTGTCCCCGGGAAACAGGTATGAATTGTAAGTTGAATTTATTGCAGGGCCTCCTGCCCAGGGTGCTGTTTATGCTACAGCATACAAATACATTTTAGACAATTGTGCTCTTCCAGCCTTGTGGTTACAATTTGGTGAAGAACCTTTCCTGTTCCAGCATGACTGTGCCCCTGTGCCAGCTCCATAAAAACATGGTTTGATGTGGAGGATCTTTCTGGGGGCAGACCTCTCAAGATAGAAGAACACAATTGTTCTCTTTCAACCTTGTGGTTACAATTTGGTGAAGAACTTTTTCTGTTCTGGTTTGAATGTGCCCATGTGCACAAAGGCAGCTCAATAAATACATGGTTTGATGAGTTTGGTGTGGAGGAACTCTGTGTTTGAACACCTTTGGGATGAACTCTTAAGCTGATTGAGAGACACGTGGTGGCAGCATTATACAATGCCAAGAGGCAGCTTCTAAATAAGCACATATGCAGCTCCATACAGACATGGTTTGATGAGTTTGATCAGGAGGATCTTTCTGGGGAGGCACACCTCTCAAGACAGAAGGACACAATTGTTATCTTTCAACCTTGTGGTTACAATTTGGTTAAGAACCTTTTCTGTTCCAGCATGACTGTACACCTGTGCACAAAGGCAGCTCTATGGTTTGATTAGTTTGGTGTGGAGGATCTTTCTGGGGGCAGACCTCTCAAACGGAAGAGCACAATTGTTCTCTTCCAACCTGGTGGTCACAATTTGGTGAAGAACCTTTTCTGTTCCAGCATGACTGTGCCCCTGTGCATAAAGGCAGCTCCATAAAGACATTGTTTGCTGAGTTTGATGAGCAGGATCTTTCTGGGGGCAGACCTCTCAAGACAGAAGAACACAATTGAACTCTATCAACTTTGTGGTTACAATTTGGTTAAGAACCTTTTATGTTCCAGCATGACTGTGCCCATGTGCACAAAGGCAGCTCAATAAAGACATGGTTTGATGAGTTTGGTGTGGAGGATCTTTCTGGGGGGGGCAGACCTCTCAAGACAGAAGAACACAATTGTTCTCTTTCAACCTTGTGGTTGGAATTTGGTGAAGAATATTTTCTGTTCCAGCATGCCTGTGCTCCTGTACATAAAACCAGCTCCATAAAGACATGGTTTGATGAGTTTGGTGTGGAGGAACTCTAGTGTTTTAACATCTTTGGGATGAACTCTTAAGCTGATTGAGAGCCAAGTATTTTTCAACATCAATACCTCACTTTTTCTTCTGTGGAAATCCTTCCCAGGAGAGTGAAGGCTTTTATAGGTGCAAAGGAGGAAGATGGAATCCATATTATTGCCCCTGGTTTAAGAATAGGATGTTCAACAACTCATAATGGTGTAAGGGTCAGGTGTCCGCAAACTTTTCACCATACAGTGTGGTGGCAACATTAGATTGTTTCATTCATTTTAATCCATCAAGTTCTCATCTCATTCATATGTTTAGAAGTCTAAAAATAACGATAAATCCTTTTCCAATACATTTTATTCTTAGAAAATAACCGAAGGCAGCAGATCAAGCTTGTTAGGAAAAAGCGTATGTGACATGAGAACTCCCCGACACTCAATTTCCGGGAAAAGCATGGCAGCAGCTACACCCTACACTACAAGTGTGGCCATATATGAGGTAAGCCTTTGCTGTCGCAGAATGTGGTGACATGCACAAAAGAAGTATACAGTCTGAGGGGAAAGTCAGACTTTAAGTAAGAAAGTATATTGTGTGTGTATATATATATCGATGTCGAGATCCGCCCAGCTGCGTGAGTGACAGATGGCTCTGCCTATCTAGAGGCAGAGCCAGCTGTACCTGCCCCCTCCCCCGTCCGTTCCGCCAGTCAGCACTGGCGGATGGGAGGGGGGAATCCATCCCCTCCCCTGTCAGGGCAGAGAGCCGTGACAGGATCGAGAAGTGAGCGAACACCAGCATGTGTTTGCTCACCTCCCGATCTACTGAGCCGACCTGTGACAGTCTCATTGTCACAGGTCGGCTAGAACTATGAGGTGAGTGAAAAGCACTCGCCTCATAGTTCTCCTTTAACATTGCCTTGATGTACAACTGGATTGATAAGTGTCCTCCGTTGTGTTTTATCAGTACTCATGATTCCGTTTTACCAAAATTTCTATTTTTTTTAGGGTTCATTTTGTGTGTTTTTTTTTTTGCCCTTTTTTATTTTATTTTAGGATTTATTGATTTATTTCGGACAAGGGAAAAAGGAGTCTGAATTGCAACTTGAAAACATTTTTAAATGACAATGTACAATTAGTTCAGCTTTTTTTATTATTATTCCTTTTGTTGTACAGGTATTCCTCACTGAACGACCGAGTTCCGTTCCTACGACCAGGTCGTTAAACAAATTGGTTGTTAAGCGAGGAACTCTATACAGTACTGTACTGCATTAGTACAGTACTGTATAGTGTTGCAGATGTACAGTACCGATTTTTTTTTTCAATTGTTTCATAAAAACTCATGAAACAGTTAAATGTAATAAGAAATAACATTGTTTGTATTAGGGATGCACTGATACCAGTGCCGATACTTGCCATTTTCATGAGAACTCCCAGGGTTGCAGCGGTTGCAGCTGTGACCGGGCTCTGGCGCTCCACCACAGTCCTGAAATCATTAGTCTGTATTGTTTTATAAAAACTGTCAAATGACAATAAACTAAAATGTATCAGTACTTGTATCTGTGAGTACTTGGGCAAGTATCAGTACTTGTACTTGGAAAAATGGTATCGCTGCATCCCTTTATATATGTTTATAAAAACAAAAGCATACATTAAACCAGAGATGTACAAATCCCGGGAGCTCCGTGTGCTCCTTACAAATGACAGCGGCCTCCTAACTTTCGAATGTTTCTCTAGTCTAGTCTTGGAGCTGGAAAAGTATCTGTACTTGTACTTGTACCGAGTACTGTACTTGGTATCGGTGCATCCCTAGTTTGTATTTTCTTTTGGATTTTCGGGGGTAGTTATTTTTGGCTTATCTCTTTTTTAATCCCAGCATGCATGATAATGATCGCACATTATGTGACAAAGAAAAAACAAAAACAAAGATACATCCAGGAAACATTGGTTTTTGATGTTTATAATATATTTTGCACTTTTAACAGTAGATTCATGCTTGTATTACTGTCACTTTAAATTTTCAAGTGTCCAATTTTTTTCATGTTGTCTAAGTAACCTCAAAATACACCAAAAATATATGAAAAAGGAAAGTACCTAAAATTACCGTATTTTTCGGTCCATAAGATTTTTTTTGTACATTTAGCCCTGCTCCTGACAAGCAGAGCTAAATGTATAGTGTGGAGCCGCCGCTCTTTTTTTTTATAAAGTGATCTGATCAGATCACTTGTATGAAAGG